TCGCTGTTTGTTCCTGGAGTCTGTACTGCAGACTGGGTCTGTTTGTCTCTGGAGTCTGGAGTATTCTTCAGGAAGATGGGAGAGGTCTACAGGTTTGAGAGTTGGTATATCAGATGCAGCTAAGGCAGAAAGGTCACAGATGCATGTGGACAAGCACAGGAGTATGTCTGCCTGGAAGAGTGGAGTGTGAGGAAGGAGCAAAAGTGCTGGTTGTAGTGCAGACATGGTTCTAAGTTCCAGCAGGTACAGTGGGCTACCCAGAAGCCCTGAATGGTGCAGTGGCCCACAGGCCTGTCTTGGCATTGTGCTCCAAGATCTGGATTGCACCATCTTGGCTCCAGGAATTGTTCCCAGGAATTGTTTGCCTGGACTCCACTGAGAGATCCACAGAACAGGGGCTTCAGTGTTGATAAGGCTGCCCCAGTGATCCCTATGTTGCCTACAGTGGGAAGGGCATGTGTGGGAGGGCTCCAATGTCTTGCAGCTAGCATAGAGGGACCCCGGATCTGGGGCTCTGTACACACTCTCTCAAAGACCCATTCACTCACAGGGGTGTGTGGGAGGCACTTGGGAACTCACTTGCAGGCATATGCGGTAAGCTCAGAAGGCCCACAGTTTTCTGCTCTCAGATTTGGGTCCCCTGTTTGGCCTTTAGAGTAAGGAGGCCCTGTACCTGGAGGTATACACTCCCCACTGCTGCCGCAGCTGCCCCACCATTGCCCGAATGTGCAGCCAAAAGTGCAGGGGATCAATAGTTCACCACTCTCAGGTACCTGGAAAAGTCCATGAGGGGCCTGGATCCCATCTGTCCCAGCTCACGGGTTGTCTCCTTTAGCCCAGGAAGCCTCAAAGTCGATGCTCTGGTTTCAGCCACCCATCCACTCACCAGTTTTGGAGTTTCGGATCCTCTGCCCTTCAGAGATGGTGCTCACTAGTTGCCACCATCATGGAGTCCTCTCTTATCAGTCTTTCTCATCCTAGAGTCTTACGAGAAATCCTAGCACACACAGGAAAGTCTCTAACGCTTGAGGGCTGTGATGGTACATGAAGTTAAAACCCTCATGGAGGCTCAAGAGGAGTCACTTTTCAACATAAGTCATTATACATGGCCCTTCCCTAGCTCAAGAGCACAGTCAATCATTACATCTATATTTAACACAGGAAAGCAAGGTCTAAAGGAGTGAATGAAAGAGACCAGCTTTGTCCCTGGGCCTTTATAACTGAAATCTGAGAGAGATGAGAAATTTTGAGGAACTAGAAGCATTTAAGATGAGCTAGACAGCAGACGAAGAAATGGACATACGAGCAAAGACATAGACATAAGAACAACAAGGATGTGTTCTGGAAGTACATAGTTCCCTTGGCCAAGGCACAGGAACAAGTTATAGTGTTAAAGAGAAATTACAGTTGGAATCTAAGGCTTGTTCCAGAGCAAGGACAGTAGTGAGCGCCAAGCAAGGCATTTGAGTGAGGTCATTGGCACCATACTGAATCCTCTGCACTCATCTGCCAGGCTCATCTGTGTGAGCTAGGCTCATCCTGCCAGGCTCATCCTGCCAGGCTCATCTGTGTGAGCTAGCAGATGTAATACCCTGGGAACCTGTTGCTTCTGGCCACTTTAAATTAGACTGGCAAAAATTCCTTTTGAGAAATAGCAATTTTGAAAACTTTGCAAGAAATTCATGCTTACTGTAAGACATTGAGAAATGGAGGAAAAGGTATGAAGCAAGCAAAATCATTCTGAATCCCAATATTCTAACCATTGATAATGTTGACATTTCCACCTCCACTTTGTTTCTGCTTCTACCTTAGTTTTCTAACCTAACACAAGTTGAATACTCCCCTATGGCAGAAGAGTTCCTTTGAAAACAGTATTATATCAGGACCACATGGCCTATTTGCCCATTTTTCTGATGTCAAGCAGGTCAAATTGCTCCTATTTATTTTGTGTTAAATAAATTTGGTGGCTAAGGTGACACACACCTTTAGTCCCAGCAATTGGGAGGCAGAGGTGCATGGATCTTTGAGTTCAAGGTCAGCCAAGGCTTTATAGTAAGACCCTGCCTCCAAAAAAAATAAAAAATAAAAAAGTTCCTTGTTGATGGACAAGAGCCTCCTCCCAAACCTTGTTTGCATTGGACATTCTTCTAAGCACTATGGGGACAAAAACTCATTTAATCTTTACAACAATAAAAGAATGTCAATACAGAGTCATATCTCTAGTTTACAGATAAGCAAGTTACAAGAAAGATTAGGCAACTTCCACAAAAGAGCAACTCTGTAAACACCAAACCAAACAAGAAACAACTAATAAAAAGCAGTAGCGCTTTCCTCAAAACTTAGTGCCTTTAGTAAATATCAAGGTTACATTAGGAAATTATTTCAGAAAAAAAAGAATACTGCTCTTTTTGCTTGTCCACAAAGACTGATGTTCAGATGGAAATGAGTTTATGACTTAACAGGTAGTGACTAACAGCTGTTTTCTTGAGCTTGGTGAAAGAAGAGTAAATGTCCTGGGGAGATGCAGTGTCAGATTAGTTCCCCCTGTACCTCCACTCAGGGACCAAAATCACCATGCAAATGTGGCAGCAGGACACAAACTGGAGTCACTGCATGCAGCTGCTCAGTAGCATCATGCAGCCCCAATGCTGTGGGCTCTGTTTCTGATTCCTGAGGCAACCAGTTGTTGGTTAGCAAGCTTCTTACCTTCTTACCTTCTTCTTCCTCCCTCCCCAACTGAATTTTTCAGCAAACACAGTGAGGGAACATGGTAACAGTTGGTTCTTTGGCAGAAGAAAAGCCTTTTTATTTTGGAGTAAAACTAACCCCAAGTTCTCATTTTATTTCTGTATCCTTTGCCTTACAATGTCTTTACTGTTGGCTCTTCATAAAACACTGAGTGGCTAGCAAGGATTCCTCTAGGACAGAGGGAACTCAATTCTTATGAGAATAAATCCTGTTTCCAACCATACAATCAAGACCTTAGGGTGGTATGCTAACATCCTTAGACTTGTGTGTCTCTATGCTGGATAGTTATGCTGAGAACATGGAGCAAGCCTATTGAGACAATAATGAGTGAAACAGTATTTTCATGCTTCCAGGAGGCTTATCAAACCCTTTCCAGAAGAGAGCTGGGGGAAAAAAATGTGAGGACACAAAACAACAGGATGCATTTGGAAAGCTGGGACAGTATTGGCGAAAGACGTTGAGTCATGTTCTGTATGTGGTTAGTCATTGGAGGTGACAGTTTAAAATTCCCCAGTGGAGAAGCCAGCCCATAGCCATGGCACACAGGCAGGTGAAGTAGATACCCGAAGGCCCTCCTGCAGCCATACCATGTGATGCACCTCAGTGGAGAACACCCAGAGGCCTGTCTTCTGGGTGGCCACCTGTGGCGGGAGATGCTATGAAGTGCAAGTATGTGATGGACAGACGAGAGAAACAGAATCGGAAAAGTTTGAGCATCATGAAGAGAGGTGGAACTAGAGACCTGAGGAATATGAGTAGCCTGCCTTGCCACCTGAGGCCATGGTGAAATCCCAGCCTGTGCTGCCACTGAGGGCCATGTATAGGATGATGGCCATGCAGTAACAGGGGCCTGGGTCGATGTTCATGTTATCACTAAAGACTATGCAGGTGTCCCTGGTCTGAGCTGCCGCTGGGGCCATGCTGATTTCCAAGGGCTGTGCAGCGCTGCCCCTGCCCCTCACTAGCTGTGGCATGCTGTAGAGCTGACCCACATGGCTGCAGCACTCCTGCGGCAGAGCAGGCCTTGCCCCTCCCTTGAGCAGCATTGTAGAGCACTTGGTGTGGGGGAGCCAGCACAAAGGAGAGCCTAGGAGAGCTGGCCGGCCACTCATCTGCCATGAGGTGGCATGGGTGTGGGGGAGATGTCCTCCTCCGAGACCCTCACCACCTACAGCAGGCAGGAGAGCTGGTCCTAGGATTGTGAGAGTGGGAGAGCTGGTCCCATCCCTCACCAGCAGCATGTGGGGGAACAGAGGCCTGTGCCTCAGCTAAGTGGCATAGTAGAGCTGGCCTTGATGGCAAAGGCACAGGTGAGTCAGTTCTGAGGGCATGAGAGCAAGAGAGCTGGCCTGCTCCTTGCCAGCTGAAGCATTGGATGAGCTAGCCTGGGTAGTGCTGGAGAGCTCACCTGGAGATGTGTGTGGAAGAGCTGGCAGGCTGACCGACTCAGCTGCCAACCCAAGCCGAGAGCCAGGACTTGGAGTTGGTTCATCCTAACATCTCTGTCATCTATGAACTACAGGAAAGCCTGAAAGGAGGTCCTGCAGATCCAAAGCTGCAGCATCTTCATGATGCAGGGCGACAACAGACGGAGAGAAGAGAGAGGATCCAGGGTTGATAGTGTAGAGAAGCCAGAGGCCTCAGAGCAGGCCAATGACTCACTGTAAAGAACATTTAAAGGCTATATTGTGTGACACACTACAGCTTCCACGACAAGACGTTTCTTATGTTTTGTTTTAGTTTTGCTTGTTTGTTTTAGTCTTCTTTTGTGGTGGAGGTTGCAAGGGTGGAGGGTAGATATGAAGGGATGGAGAGAGGAGATGAATGGGATTAGAGTACATGATGTGAAGCTCACAAAGAAAAAATTCCCAAATGAACCACAAGTGGTAAGTTCCTGCGGTGGCAAGAAGCATCTGAAATGGTCCCTGTTGTCTATCTGTCTGTATCTATCTACCTACCTGTCTGTCTGACTGTCTGTCTATCTATCTATCTATCTATCTATCTATCTATCTATCTATCTATCT